GCAAGCAGTGGGCCCAGTTCCTCCGTCCCCATGCAAATAAAGACACCAGCCCCGCACCATCTCCTTGCCCCCTTCGCTCCCCTGCATCTTGGGGGAAGAAGGTGGCACAAAGACCCTGGAGTGGGAATTGTGGACTTCTGTGAACCCTCCAACCAAGGGGAGACGCTGGGAAGAGGACTGTGGCTCAGGAAGGGCGAAGGGCTTGTGTTATTTTGTTTGGATTCTCGCTTACCCTGGAAGAGGAGGGAGGACACTTGTTGGCATGGTGACTGTGGAGAGCTACACTGAATTTTCTACCCAACTGCTGAGGAGAAACTGAAACATGGCCAGAGTTAAACTGGCCTCTTAGAGAACCCATTCTTTGGTAACTAGTGGCTGTTTGGAGTTTTTGATGCACAGTTTTATGCTGCTTTGGAAGGTGGTGGTGGTGTTTTTTGTTACCTAAAGCTATTTGTAGCACGAAGCTCTGATTTCGTTTGTGGTTATTCAGGTTTATACCACACCATCCCCGTGGTATCTGAGTGCTGTCCAGTGCTCTAGTGGTGTGACTAGCATCAGTCGTGCATGGTTCGGTTTTAGGGGTTTGTATTGCTGCCCATCCCCCCCAATATCTGAGTGTCCTCCATTGTAGCCCAATCTACAGATAGCTAGATAGATTACTTAAGAATCTCCAGTCATCACTTTGAGGGTTGGCAGGTTCTTGTCCCAAGATCAGGCCCAGTATTATTAAAATTATTGTATATTTGGGAACCCCGATGTGCACAATTGCAACACTCACACTATAGGAATCTTCTGTATTTACAAGTAGCTTATTAATACATTTAGCACAGTCACAAACACCCCAACTCAGTAAGGTAGATAGAGGTACTACAGAGATCCCATATCCTCACACCATCCCTTGTAGAACCTGAAATATTAGCCGTCGTCTTCCTCGTGACCATCATTTCCCCCCCTCATCATCAGGGGCCACCATTCTGGCACCTCTAAAGGACGACATCTCCTTCTCCTACTGCCCCTAGGCCGCGATGCCACTTTTATAATATGATACGCTGGCGTCCCTATGTTTGATGCATATTCAGTTGGGGTTTTTCCCCTTTCCTTATTTGTATATCCTCATCTTACTAATGTTGGAGTGTCCGTCTCCTGTAGGTTAGTATATCAGTGATTTCAAGTTGTTACCATGGCCCTCTTGTGGCTGGGCCATGTTCCTGTGGTCAGAAATTCTCCTTAAACACTTGATTTTCAGATCCCCAGTATTTGGAGTTTTCCGTTGGGCTGTTTATCTGTTCATAGGCCTCAATCCTTGTGCTAACGTGCTGAAGGATACAGGCCTGTAAGTTCCTTGCATTACTACTGACTATAATGCAAAGCAGTGAATATAATGAAGGCAAGCTAGCCCTATGGGCTACACTATGCAAACCAGAGTGCTTTCCTTTGTCTCTGGTCCTCTCCCCAGAAGGAGAACTGCCTGTTTTACTTTAGTCTTCTGTATTGACACTCTTCACTGTGGTATCTATGTACCTTGCATGTACAATCAATAGCTAAGCCCCTAGTGGTCTTCATGGAGTCTCTGGCACATCTTCTTTTTATGGGGTAAAAGCTCTGCTTGGAGTAAGGTGTTCAGGGTTTTGCAGCTGGTTGGCTGGCTTCTGTCAGGGTCTTTTTGAAGTTGGGGGGCAGTATGGCAGATGGAGGGGTTCATACTCTGAGTGTCATTCTTGTAATGGTGGAAAGGCTTTTTTGAAAAGGAAGGTTTGGCCCCCATCATAGGATCTGGTGCCTCCCATGTAAAATCAATAGTAATTGTGAAGCCTGTTATGGTCTTCATCGGTCTCCAGCACTCTTACCGTTTGAGGTAAAAACTCTGCATGGGGTAGGCCGTTTTCACTTTTTTGAACTTATGGCTTGGCTCGTTTCAGAGTTTTGTTCTGTTATTTGGGGGGGTGTCAGTGTTGAGTGTCATTCTTGTTACAGGGCTTCCCCTCTGTTTGTTGGGGAATCTGTGGCTGGGCACTACTGCACCTGGACCTTTCTCAGTCTCTGCTTGTGAGATGGGGCTGCCAGGATGGCATGCAGTACGGAAGGTGTGGGTGTGCCCTGGATTTATACAGTGGCATTATGATAAGAAGACAGAAAATATCTCTCCTGTCCCTTTCCTAATGGTTCCTAACAGGCTGTTAGCTGGTTTGACTGCGCTGCACATTGTGGCTAGTCTCTAAAAACATCCGCTCAGTGACTCTAAGATCTCTTTTCCCCCCCATCATTAGATATGTGCAGCCGGGATTGTTTTCCAACCTGCCTCCTCTTCCTCAGCGCGCACAGAGGGCTGGGGGCGGGGAAGGCGGGTTCTGCACGTGCATCCGGCAGTGCGGGCCCTGGCTTGTCCCCCGGGTCAGGTGATCTCCCTTGTAGAGAGCGAGCGCGCGACGTCCTTCCTAGGCGCGGGGTCCTCCCTACGAGCGCTGATGGGCTCCACGTCAGAGCCGAGCCAATCAGAAAGGGGTGGGGGAGTCTGTGGAGCCAATCGCTTCCTTGGGGCTGCGCGCGCAGGTGGTTGTTGTACTGCGCAGGCTCCAGGTCTCAGGTGAGGGCCGGGCAGCGCTTCTCTGAGCCGGGTCAGGGAAGCGCTGGCTGGAGGGGGGTGGGGCTGTTGCCCCCACACATCATGGCGGCAGTGGGGGGGCTGGAAGGGGGGGCGGTATCGGGCTCTCCACGGGGCGCCGGAACTTCCGGTGCGATGGCGGCCTTTGGCAGGCGGGAGGGGAACAGCCCCGAGCAGCCCGCGCAGGAACACGGGCCGGGCCCAGCGACCTGTGCGGCAGCCGTGGGTAGCTCAGCCCGGGGCAGCACGTGCAGCTGTAGCCCGAGGGGGCTCCGTAACCAGGTGCCCAAACATAACGCGCCACCCTGCCGCCCCCCCATCCCCATGCAGAGCCCTCTCCTGTCCCTGGCCCCTAGCG